GTTTCCCTGTCAACCCCCTCCCCTATGCAAGCCCTCCTCTGAACCCAGGGCTCGCTACAATACTGTATATCAAACTATACAAAAGCGCCTTTACGCTTTGGAGCTGGCTTATCCATCTGTAAGCAAATGCCAGCTAGGTCTCTCAGTCACTCACTCTTGATCGTTCACTGCGCAGTGACAGCTGCTACGGGCCTGATGTGTGAAATTGAAACTGATAGATAGAACAAAGGTAGCCTATCAAAACAGCCCAGCCCAGCAAAGTGGGCCACACCCCACCCCACTGGGCTAGGCTGGGCTGGGCCGGAACACTTACAAATGTGGGCCGGTAGGATTTAGGCAAAAAAAAAAGAGGTTTTTTTTTTTTTTGGCACTCCGGCCCACGCACAGCACCGACCCACCGGGGAAACTCCCGGTATTCCCAATGGTCAGTCCGCCCCTGGACTCAGCTAATTTAAGCGGCATTATAAAAGGTTTTGGTTTAACCTCTTAACAAATGGCCACAATATTTACCTTTTGTTGGCTGCGAGTGAAATACTTGGATTTTTTNAACACGATGTCGCTGTAACTCCAATGGACACGGTCCGATCGTCCTCCAAACTTCGCTTGTATATCACCGGTCCATGCCTCAACAGCTCTATGCCAAATCTGAGATCTCACCATAGGCTGTTGCCATGGAAACACATCCCTCGCCAAAAAACACGATGTTGTCGTAACTGATATGAAAATGTTCAAAACACCACCAGACTTCAAATGACAGTTAGTGGTCCAACCATTAGTGAGTTTTCCTCAAAAGCTGTTGCCATGGCAACACATCCCTTGCAATAAAACACGATATTGCTATAACTCCTATGAAAATTGTCAAAAAGTGCTAAAACTTCACATGTGTGCTAACAGTCCAGCCGTGAAGACATCCACGGGACAGTTTTGAGATTTCTTCAAATGCCGTTGCCATGGCAACACAATGCTCGCCATGAAACACGTTTATTTCATAACTTCAGTGAAAATGCTGCAAACAGCCCAAAACTTCACAGGTGCAGCCATCAAAATATCTAAGCGTATTATGGGGTGTCATCAAATACCGTTGCCATGGCGACCGATCATTCACCATCAAGTTAGTTAAATAGTTTGCAGTTCAAATATTCTGCTGCTTTTCCAAGCCATTTTACTTTATTTTCTTCTCTTATCACACATTCAAGCCATTCAATCTAAATTCTTCACTTTCTTCTTACACATTACATTTCAGCATAGCAATTCAGCGTCAGCTTTTCAGCATAAAGCATTCCCACTAGCAATTTCTTCAGGAATTGCATTCTCTAGTTTTACTATTGTAATTGCATTTTTCTTTAATTTAGATGTAAGCGATGGTGGTTTTTGAGGCATTTTGTCAACCGTTTGTTTACCCTTCTGTTGTTCTTGTCAACCAGTTGGAGATATCGTTGCTGACGGTCTAAACTAAATAAAAGTAAATGTTAAAATCAGAGTCTTCTGGGACTCAGTAGCAGGATCTTTCTGGTTCAGGTTGTTCAGGCAAGCTGAGGCCTGAATGTTGATCTGAAGAGTCACTGTCTGTGGTTTGTGGGCTGGTTCTCATCCAAGATGGAGGAACTTCCTGATGGTCCTGTTGATGTGAAACTGTCGGCCCGCTGTCATCTGTGTGTGTGTGTGTGTGTGTGTGTGTGTGTGTGTGTGTGTGTGTGTGTGTGTGTGTGTGTGTGTGTGTGTGTGTGTGTGTGTGTGTGTGTGTGTGTGTGTGGTTGCTAGGCAACAGACCAAAGACCTTCTCGGCAGGTCACTAGGCCTGTCTTTCCATAGTGTGGGTGCACGTGTGTAAGTGACAGGGCATATTTATGAACAGAAAGCTATAAAGTGTGCTGCATCCTTCACTGTGCTCTCTGTTGCTCCACTTCTCTGTTTCTGTCTTCCTCACAAACTGCAAACACACACAAATGAATCCTCCACCCCCTCACATCGCCTCAATCCCCAGCTGTGCCACCATCCCTTCCTGCATACATACATACATACATACATACATACATACATACATACATACATACATACATACATACATACATACATACATACATACACCACTCTCTGTTTGACTTTATTTCTCTTTCAGTCTTTCTTTTCCGAAAAGAAAGACTGAAAGAGAAATAAAGTCAAACAGAGAGTGGTGTATGTATGTATGTATGTATGTATGTATGTATGTATGTATGTATGTATGTATGTANGACTCTGTGGTTCAGCCTCATATCACTGCTGGTGTATTTTTACATACAATTCTCATGAACTTCTGTTCAAACCACTTTCGCATTACTATGACTTGCAGTATTGACCAAAAAATAGAAGTAACACATCAATACGGTTTACATTTCAACATTATGAAGATATCACCACACATGTTACAACAACAGCCATAGCGAGAACAACACTCACACACACACAGTGACATGGAAAAGTGAAAGTAACCAGAGAGGAGTGATGATTGGTTAACGCGGGGTAACATTTCAGGGNGCCACAGTGCCTCATGAAAATGTAACGACAATGTGAATAATTAAGATCAAACCAGAGCGGGATGTCACTGTGTGTGTGTGAGTGTTGTTCTCGCTATGGCTGTTGTTGTAACATGTGTGGTGATATCTTCATAATGTTGAAATGTAAACCGTATTGATGTGTTACTTGCGAAAGTAATGCGAAGTAATGCGAAAGTGGAAACAGAAGTTCATGAGAATTGTATGTAAAAATACACCAGCAGTGATATGAGGCTGAACCACAGAGTCTGGCTACAGTACAGAAGACTGATCTGCCCTATTTATCTAAATGGAGTTCTGCTGTTGGTCATATTCATGTCTTCAGCTCTAGGAAGGGACTGATCAAAATATAAAGGGATGAATTGCGCTTTATTTCCTTCCCTCCCAAAGTATGCAGTTTGAAGGTTTACTGACTGATGATCAGCTTAATGCTCAAAGATCCAGTATTAAACATACCTTCTCCACCTCTGAAGGTTTAATACTCTGCACTCATTTGTGAAACTAACAAAGTTTTTGTTTAATATTCTGTTATATTTTTAGACTGCTGGTTGGACATGCAGGCAACTAATAGAGAATATAATCGGCAGAACAATCGATGAAATTCTTAAAAAAAGGAGCTGTTTTGGCTGTTTTTTGATTGGTAAAGACTACTAAAGAATATCATTATATATTACCAAATAATTAATCATCTTTTTATTTATTTATTAGTATGTAGTGTCAAATTGATATTTTTGTATATCAATTTGACACTGATTATTTTTTGTATTGTATAATAATTCTTATGTTACATTTTTGTATTATTGTTTTACACATTCAAAATAAATCAAATCAAAAAATCTTATATTTTCAGCCCTTCTTTTTGACACACATTTTTGAAAAACCTTAATAGTTACGTATACATTGGAATGGTTTCTTCTGTGGCTGTTTTTATACAGTAAACGTGGATCAAGCAAAAGATTTAGTCTTATTTTGTTATTCGTTCAATAATATGCTGATGCCAAGTACTTCTATATTGGTTACTGATGCCTATCCATCTTTCCATTGTACCTGTAACTATGAGAAACAGCCTGCAACCTTTTATGCTACATACAAGCATATAAACATAAAATGGCAACACATTTTAACAGTTAATAAAAAACATGCACACAACTAACTGATTTAACTTCTGAAATGTTAATATGTTGCATGTTTTTTATTTGGTGTGGGATTGTTTGTTGGACAAAAGGAGCTGTGTAAGCGTGTCAGCTTGGGCTTTGGGAAATTAACATTTGTTAGATGCAGCGATGGATCAGACCAGCTTGTCAATCTCTCCTACTCAACTCCTGTCAACATGTTGGTATCTGATAGAAATTCAGATCTCTGCTTGCAGCAGATAAAAGTCTTCATTATCACAATTCTGAAATGTTCATATGTGCCTTTTTAAATATCCGCTCTTCACTTAAATGTATACTTTGTGTTGCAACTAATACACAAATTGCAATAGAGAGAAGGTTTGATTACTTTCTGAATTCACTGTTTACAGTATTTATTACATGTAAAACGCTTATTCACATAAAATCAATGCAGGAAACTGAATACGACAAATCTTCGTTTTTTATATGAAAATACTTGGATAATGTTGGATACCGTATTATATTACAATATATTCTAATGTATTAATTGAAAAACGAACTATTAAATGTAGTTTTGTAAAAATGTGAACACGAAGAACAATATTGTGTGTTGGATAACCCAAGTAACGTGCAAGTACTTCAAAAAAGTACTTAAGTACATTACTCAAGTGAATGTACTTACAGTAGACCATCCCACTTCTTCAATGTCATTACTTAATTTTGAGCAGACCTGCTACTTCATTGTACTATGAAAGTGGTAAACTGAACTTTGTCCAACATGTTCTTGAAAAGTGCTTGCAGTAAAATCTAAACTATTCTTTGTGTGTGTCTTGCTGTCTTAACAGCACTCAAAGATATTAAGCACAGTCCATTTATCTTCCAACATACAAACTGAATAAAAAGAGAATGAGGATCAGAAACCATGTGCTATATTTGCCTCAAAGTATGCAGGGTTCTCTTTTTTTTTGTCTGTCACTTCAATTAATACATTTAGCACAACTTGAGGCAGAAAGCAGGAACATGCAGTCACCAGGTGTGTGCAGCCTGCTGCCTGCCACACGTTTCCTGCAGCAGCTTTAATGATATGCGGCGCGATTATTACTAGATGTCCCACCATGCTGCGATTTATTTAATATCATCTTCAACTGAAGCAATAAAACTATAAATAGATGTACACAGAGCAAGGAAGGAACAAATGGGAACTGCTGAAATATGAGCAGCATATTGTGCAATGACTAATGCCACATAATTGACATATTGATTCATCTCTTTGTTGATATTATGTTGCCTTTTTTGGCGTTGCAAGGAAGCCTGAGTTTGACATTCACTTTTTATTCTCTCTCTCTCCCTCCACCAGTGTGCTGTTTTGTGGTCCATAAGCGCTGTCATGAATTTGTCACCTTCTCCTGTCCGGGGGCCGACAAGGGACCGGCATCCGATGTGAGTAAAGAAAATAGGAGGTCATTTTCATATCATGTGCTCAAGTTAGATATTTATTAAACACACAGTTAGTGATTTCTTTCCTGTTAAGTTATGTTTATTATTAACATTATCAAGGTCAGCTTTGTGTGTGTGTGTGTGTGTGTGTGTGTGTGTGTGTGTGTGTGTGTGTGTGTGTGTGTGTGTGTGTGTGTGTCCTGTATTTGCTGCAAGATATACACACACACACACAGGGATGTTACCTCTTGCACTCTGCTGAGCTGTCAGCCCCAAATCACACTGAGAAATGTCAATAAGGACAGAATGTGCTGCCTGGCTGCCTCGGGTTAATGAGCTGAAATCTTTCATTCACTTACTCCCTAGCACATACACACACATACACACACACAAAAGTCAGCACACATTTTGTGAGTCAGCGAGGATTTTAAAGCCATGTAACTGATGTTTATTCATCCCTACTCCTTGGTCTTTCTTTGTTTTTGTTATATCCCCACAGCTGATTTGTTTCCTCCTATTTTTAGGCATTCTCCAAATTCGAATCAGTGATGCATTCTCTCTTCTAATAATTTCTCTTTAGCCCTCTGTCATGAGGAAAGCAATGTTCAAATGAATGGTTTGCCACAGATATACTTAATGGTTAAAAGTAAAATGCACTTTGGTTCCAGGGTGTTGACAGGTTTTATGCCCGGCCCTGTAGTAAATAAGTGTTTTTCCCCTGTCTGGTGACAAAGAACTTGACTGACATATGCAGAGCTCTGACCTCAACCCCACCTTCAACAACTTTTGAGATGAGTTTGAGACTTATCGTCCAACATCAGTAGCCGACCTCTCTGATCTCCTCCAATACAATGGGAGCCCCTCCCTGCATGTGGCTCTAAAATGTTGTGATAAGTCTTCCCATAAGAGTGGACGTTATATGATTTATAATTGACATAGTTTAAAAATAATGCTCACATACGGCTGAAATGTTCTGGTGTCTACATACTTTTGGATATAAAGTGTATCTTATTACATGTGTGAATAAGACCAAAGTTCTCTGCATGGTTGGATAACACTTCGAGGTAAATGACAATGTAATTTTGGGGTGAACCGCCCCTTTAAATACAGCCTTACAAGACAACCGAGAACAACTGAACTTGTTTTTGAATCTTTTAAAGGAGTCTGAGCTAACTGCAGATGCAGGGCCTAGCCTGAAGTGACCTGGATTACTCTTTAATATTGAATTCACATATCTTCTCCCTCCTCTCTGTGTTTGTGCCTTTGCAGGATCCTCGTAGTAAACACAAGTTTAAGGTCCATACCTACTCCAGCCCGACTTTCTGTGACCACTGCGGCTCGCTCCTCTACGGGCTGATACACCAGGGCATGAAATGCGACCGTAAGTGTGTGTGTGTGTGTGTGTGTGTGTGTGTGTGTGTGTGTGTGTGTGTGTGTGTGTGTGTGTGTGTGTGTGTGTGTGTGTGTGTGTGTGTGTGTGTGTGTGTGTGTGTGTGTGTGTGTGTGTGTGTGTGTGTGTGTGTGTGTGTGTGTGTGTGTGTGTGTGTGTGTGTGTGTGTGTTCACACCATTTGAGCAAGTGGCACAAAGGAAAGCTCGAGAGGCCATAAGCAGAACATTTCAACTGCACATTTCGGTTTATTCAAAGTGAATATTTTAATCGTCACATTATATTTTTTTCTCCTGTCCATTGTTAGCTGGGACCCGCGCCAGCCTAACATTTCTGCTTCGATTCATTTGGACAACTGGGAGACCATTAGTCAGAATTGTAGGAAATGACTGCTTGAAATGTATTTTCTGTCAATCCAACTCAAATAGTTTTCACTATAGGTAAATGTGTGGATTGTGAACTGTAGTTCAATGAAACACATTAATATTGCATGCAGAGCATTTGCAAATATTGAGCTACTCATTATGATGAGACTGACAGCTTATTAGATTGTATCAGCTTAAATTCAGACAGTTGGAGGGATATTATCAGCTTCTCATAACAATGAGTGAATCGTTTTTACATTCCTGCTGTTGTGTCATATTATTACTGACCATTTGGCTGTTGTTGGCAAAAAAGACTCAAACAGGAAGTGGGTTACATCTCTGCTGTCACCAGCCATCACTAGCAAGCAGTGGGTAGACAGTTCCTCATTGTACCTGTGTGAAGTCCACGCTGTTTGATGAACTTGGCCTTTAAACTCGTTTTCATACATTTAGATGTAATCATTAGATGTTCACATAGAAGAAACGAAACACGGTTGATGCTAAAAATACATTGGCAGCTTATAAAACCAACAGAGTTCACAAAGAGTTTATTGGGGTTTATTCATTTACGTAAACAAACAACATTTGACTAGGAGCTCTTGCAAATTGTATTCAAATGTAATAAATGAGTTTTGTATTGGACTACACAGGACATAGTGGAAATTCACAAACACATACAGAGAAACATTTCTGCAATGAACTGGCTATGGTTAAATTAAAAACTTTTTCACTATTCTTCTGGTTCTTCTGGTAAGACAATCTGATAAGTACATCACTGTTTAGATATGAGAACAGTTTGGTTATAACCTCTTGATTTGGCTGTTTTTCTAATTAGCAAAACAAAGAAAAACGCTTTGGTCAAATTGTAAAAAGAATGAAGACTCATTTATTTTCCAAACACCTTTTTTATGACTATTGGAAAACAACATGAGGTCAAGAATGTATTTTAAGGGAAATCACAAAAAGAAAAACGCAGTGCTAAGAGTTAATGACTGCACTAACGATTGACAATTAAGTAATGTTATTGATGTGGGTCTTCATTATCTTTTATATTCTTCGGCAAAGGATGGTCCAGTTGGGAAGCGAAACTTGATTCCGAGTAAGAACATATAACGATTGTCCGGTACCAAATTGTGAGCTAGCTAGCTCTCTCTCTCTCTCTCTCTCTCTCTCTCTCTCTCTCTCTCTCTCCCTTGCTTAAACACCTTCATCTCTATCAACCCATCATATGTTCTTTCTCTAACAAACAATGAAGGTTATTAAGCATATTAGCTCTTATATTGTTAATAATATTATGGACTGCCAATTTACTCTATGAAGTAAACAGGCCTCCTTTTCTCTGTTCTCACGTGGCCAGATAGTGAGACAGACTCGGGAGAGGGAAGTCGTATGTTGTTTGTGAAGCCAGGTATGAAAAGTAAACCATTTTAAATAAAATACGTTTTATACGGTTACAGTGTAACAGAGGAGGAGACTGTGGGGATTGTACATTCTCAAACCACTTGGAACTAACTAGTGAATGCAAAAACAATGCAGGGATGATTAGTAAATTATTTAATTCAATAACAGCAACCAAATGATTGATTTGTAAACGCTGAAATTGGCATGTGACTTATTTTTACCCTCTCAAAGAACCAAAATCAAGAACCGAAAAGAACCGGAATCGGAAAAGCAGAACCGGAATCTTTAAAATCCAAACGATACCAAACCCACTTGCATTGTTCTTGGTCATCCCCATATAGGGTTTTCATCAACAGTTGATGTGAGTGGAGCCAGATAGAACATGTCAAAGATACAGATATAATAGGACGTAAATCAGAAGAAATAGAGTAATCATACGATGTGTTATCATGGACAGAAAAATATGAGATTATCTACTCAATCTCCATCCTCCACCTCATTTAAGGAGTGTGAAAAGTGGAGCTTTGTACATCAGAGCAGTCTGACATCTGGTGGACAGACGGAGAAGTTACACAATTGTGCTTGGCTATTTCTTATCTGTAATTAAACTGAAGAGATGCACTATTATTGGTTATATTTACATGTCTTGCTGTACTCAATGAATCTAAAACAATCTAATCCGGGTTTAGAGAGCAGGGAGGGTCTAATTAAAGATGCTGTTGACTTGCATTAGTGGAAGGGTAGGATCCAGTTTGGGGTTTATATTTCAGATGACTCTGTGTTTGTTGCTTTGTTATTGCCCAATAATATATTTTAATCTCTCTCCTGTGAGTTACCAAAACAACACTGAATCACTTAAAAGTCTATAATTTAGCAATACCAGCAGCATGGCGATAATGGCTTTTCAAAATCGACTCGACTCTGTTTACTTTGTGGTTTTGGGCTCCATGAATATAATTAAGTTGTGCATTTTTGTGTGTCTGTGTTCAGACTGTTTGATGAACATCCACAAGCGGTGTGTGGCCAACGTCCCGAGCCTGTGTGGGACAGATCACACGGAGAGGAGAGGACGCCTTCAGATCACTGCCCAGATCGCTGACGAAACTCTCACCGTCACCAGTGAGTGCACTCTGGTCTCTTAATTCTCACACACACATACACACACAAATGCACACATTGAGCGCCTCTCAAAGCTCTCAATCAGCCCAAGACTAAAACGTGAAAGTCCATTAGTTGATCAATGATCCAACGATTGCCCCACATCGCCACTGGGACACGCATTCCCGTGCCAGCGCTCCCTCTCTCAGACGGCTGTACATTGATTATGGAACACAAACTAAACTGCTGGTAAGTGTTCTAAAATGTAGCAAGAGTTATTTAGGGCAGGACTCACAGCCACACTTAGAGCTTCACATCCCGCTGTCCTCTGCCAAGGACAATTTCCAAACGTCTAAAAGTGTCTGTTCATGGTATGGTTTTTTTCTCCTTCTAAAACTTTTTTTGTAACCATGTCCTCCTCCCCAACCCCTCGCAGTCAGAGAGGCGAGGAACCTGGTGCCCATGGACCCCAACGGCCTGTCAGACCCCTACGTCAAGCTCAAGCTGATCCCAGATCCCAAGAGTGAGAGCAAGCAGAAGACCAAGACCATCAAATGTTGCCTCAACCCTACCTGGAATGAGACCTTCACTTTGTGAGTAATTCTGCACCGAGTCGGTCGATAAGTTAAAAATAACAACCGGCCACCGTTTGTCAAGAAAGGGATTTTTTTCTTAGACATAGTTTTATTATTTAACAGAAAATACAACTATAAACTGTCTAAATTCAAGTTGTATTCTTTCACTTAGTCAAGACTTGTTTAATTGGCTTGTTAATCCATTGTCAATCACATTACATTAAAGAAAAACCTAAACTAAATTAAACTCACTAAAACCATCTAGCTTATCTTCCCACTGTTGCCACAATAACCAACGTAATATTTGGTCAAAATACTCCCATAATTCACAGAGTGAGATGTTAAAATATGCAGGATCTACAAACTGTGTCTTACCACTGTCTCTTTTAGCTGCCCTCACTCATTTGTCAGATGCAGACCATTACATTTCCAAATTAAAACAACAAATATTGCCCCATTATATCAAACTAAACCCAAACGCTCAACCCTATTCTGTACCAACATTTGGCAGATTTTTGAGGCTTCAACAAACTTATTTTTGCCGTTATTGGCATACTCTCTTGGCCCCATTTGCAGTCACCAAAGCACAAAGCTAACTGGAACTCATGCAAGTGACCCTATCCCCATTCTTCTTCCTGTTCTTGCTTGTTGTTATTCAAGCTATTCTCGGTTGCTGTGTGACTGCCACGAAAGGCACAGGCATTAAAACCTGTCACACGCTGCGGTGTTCACCAGTTTAAACAGAGAGAGATGTGAGGACTGTGGCTTTGAAGGCAAATTCTGATCTCGGTTTTTCATTTTTACCTATTTTTAGAGCGCCATTCATCTTACTGTCCTCCCTTTTTTCTCTAATTTCTAAGCAAACTAAAAGACAGCGACAAAGACCGCCGTCTGTCAGTGGAGATCTGGGACTGGGACCTGACCAGCAGGAACGACTTCATGGGATCCCTGTCCTTTGGGATCTCAGAGCTACAGAAACAAGGGGTAGATGGATGGTAAGAGATGGTGGATGATTGGGGAAATGACACAGGTGGAGTTATAAACATAACAAAGGCAGGGGAACAGGGGTCTTCATATTTAAGGGACTTATTGTCATAGTCTGGTGATAATCCTGGATTTAATGTTTTTATTCCGGGGTTTAGGTTCAAGATGCTGTCCCAGGAGGAAGGAGAGTATTTTAATGTTCCCGTCCAGCCAGACGGAGAAGACGGTAACGAGGAGCTACGACAAAAGTTTGAGGTGAGTCGCACAAAATGACAAAAGGTTTTTAGTTGTGCTGTCCTTGTTTTATTAATAAGGCCTTTTTTACTCTTCCCTTATAATCTTGTTCTTCTCCTGTTATTGCTTCTCTTCAGAGGGCGAGGGTAGGTCCAGGGAAGTCCACAGACTCTTCTTCCTCCTCCTCGGTGTGCAAGTACGACAGCAATGGCAACCAGGACCGGGTCAAGCTCTCAGACTTCAACTTCATCATGGTTTTGGGCAAGGGCAGCTTTGGCAAGGTGATGCACATTAGTGGTGTTGTAATGTACCAATCGACCAGCCAGCATTTGAAATAGGCCAGTTGGCAGCTGGTGGACTGTGACTGACAATTTAGTGTCACAAATCCATTTTTTTCCCGTTAATGTTGACATCGATGTGCTGCATAATATTTTTGCATTGTACACACAAAGGCACAGAGTAAAAATACAGCCACACGCACATCGTGTTGTTGATATATTGCATCTGTTTTCTTCTGGGAAAGTAAAATATTAAAGTATATATTATTAAAAATACATTTAGTCTGATATTATTTGTCCAGTAAATTGGAGCACTTGCCTTTTTTTGAGTGAGTGAGAGAAAGTATTTTCTTTCTTCTACCTTAGTGTAGTTTTGAAGAAAATGTAGATGATTTATTAGTCAATGTTATAAAAGGAACATACAATCCGATTTCCTATGTATGCTGCCAATATAAAGAAAGAAATTATATTACTATGAAGCTAATGTATTACCTTTTATTTCGATGACTCTGCACAGGTGATGCTGGCTGAGAGGAAGGGCACAGATGAGTTGTACGCCGTCAAAATCCTGAAGAAGGACGTGGTGATCCAGGACGACGATGTGGAGTGCACCATGGTGGAGAAGAGAGTCCTCGCTCTGGCTGGAAAACCTCCTTTCCTCACTCAGCTGCACTCCTGCTTCCAGACGATGGTAAAGAAACACAACATCTTGAATTAACTAAGATGAGCACATGCAGAAACTTGGAGTATTTATTCTCCTACTATTTGTTTTTCAGGACCGTTTGTATTTTGTCATGGAGTATATCAATGGAGGAGACCTTATGTACCAGATCCAACAGGTCGGCAAATTCAAGGAGCCGCATGCTGTGTGAGTACACACACACACACACACACACACACACACACACACACACACACACACACACACACACACACACACACACAAAGTACAAAGTACAAAATACTATAACATCTATTTGTGAGAGTGTGAATGTTCAGTCAGTGAGGCAGAGGCTGTCTATTTGCATGTATTAGTTCATAAATGTAATGCTTTGCATTTAACTGTACTCATAGTTAAATGGCGAAGCTGTAGTAAGTCCTTAAAAGGCTTATTGGGCAGAATAAGTATCGTTATTCATGCTTTTAGCTTTAATTTAGCTGAAATTGAAAGTGTTCACAATAACATAACCTCAAATTACTTCATTTTATCAACATCAAGCGTTGTTATGCAATTGTGACATTATAAATGTCAAATATTGTATTCATGTCATCGCTCACAATGTCCCGAAATATTTGTATTTCTTACATGCTTTGCTTTTACACTTTGGTCTCTTGTATCATTTATCCTATTTTACTTTTATTATCAAATAGTTCTGTCGTTTATTGGACCTGTTTTTACCCTTGATCGTTTTCTCATAGTTTGAAGAACTTAGACATTTCATCGAGTGAGCTATATAAATTAATTTAATTATTATTAAATAATCAATGAAAACAGAAACTCAAATTTGTTTAGAAACTGGTATTTGTCTGTGTTTTAGGTTCTATGCTGCAGAGATTGCCATTGGACTTTTCTTCCTCCACTCCAAAGGCATCGTGTATCGGTGAGTCAGTCTGTGAACCTGCATATGCAGTTACCACTCATTTCAGAATACGTGT